CATTGATCACCTGCTAGCATTGTCATACATTTTTTACACCCACTATCCCTTTTAACAAATTTGAGATTAAAACTAAATTGTGAATTTTCATAAATTATGAAACTAAATTTGTGAAGAATGTTCATAAAATTTTATAATTTTTAAAATTTAGATTCAGCAATTATACTTCTTAGACTAAATGTTTTGTCGCACCCCCTCCCCACCCAAAAATAAAATATAATTAACAGTCAATTTACTATCTCTGCACAATGGCATGTTTATGTGTTCGTTCTAATTGAATTCACTACCCTTTGCTTATTTTCCAATTGTTGCTAGAATTCCTAATTAAATCCTTTAACTGTCATAATCATGATAATGGCCGATCATTGGCCATTATACCCTTTCTGTGGCCCAATATAATCAGCCGCTAGCAAAATCATTTTTAAAAATGCAAATGTATATTGTTTAAGGGGAAATTACTCTAAATAGATGAGTTTGCTTCCTATTTGTGTTACTATGTGGATTAAAGTACTTATATCAGGGATTTCTTTTTATTAATTGGGTGTGAAATTTTTTGACTGGCATAATGTCTGATGCCGGAGACGGCCCCCCTCTAGATTTAACAATCAACACAGAATTTCTTTATTGGAATTATTTAAATATATTAAAATGAAAGCAATCACTTCAGAGATATTCCACGACATCCACATGCTTGTCATGACATTATTAGCTCTAGCGGTGATTGCAACATAAGGCATGATAAGAATAAGAGTCGGATATTGATATCGACAATGTTATCCCTGAGCTTAGCTATATTATGGCTCACTAATTCATTTGAGAAAGGATGGAAATTTAACAGCAAAAGACACATTCCAAATCATGCCTAATGCCTTACCGCAAAATTTATATTTGTCTATGTTCTGGAGTATTAAAATAGTGTCACAATTTCCAAAATAAGTTAAGTAACTATAACTTATCATTTTCTGAAAGAATAGTGCTTCTAGTATTTCAAAAAACTAATTGTATGATAGTCTGAACAATTTATTAAGAATTTAGGGTGGGTTGAATTCAGAAGTTGAATCAGAAGTTAAAACAGTGGTGGTAAAATGTTAATCACTCTGGACTCTGTAATTTGCAGTGTAAAAGTAAAGTAAAGGCTAAAGGCAAAGGCGTCAAGACATCATGATCAACATAATTAACATATATATAATATAAATAATTCAAATTCTTTTCATAACATCATAAGATAGTCCAATGTACTTTCAGAATATGTATACTTTCAATTGTCCTTGAATTCATCTGAGATTTTTAACAAGCATATATTTATATCATAAAAATCACATGCTAAAAATGAAAATGGCTTGAAGCTATAGAAAAATGTTCTTAACAGTAAGTCAGTAACTTCCAGTAACAGTTATCGATAACAGAGTTATAGATCTAATATAAAAATATCCCGGTATTCACAGACACCATTAGGCGATCTTTCAAAGAGATAAGCAAATTACTAACATGAGCAGTTGAACAATCAGTTATTTAGTTTACTTACAATGAAAAACCAGCAACAGTCTCTTCCACTTCTAGTTTCTGCCCATAAATTTCTCCTTTCATTTTCTATAGCGCTAAATGTCAAGATATCATCTGGTTACCGAGATATTTGGAGAAAGTTGAAACAGAAAAATCCGAGATATAATTAAATACCTTAATTTAAATTAAATAATATTTTTGATATTATATTGTGTAATAAACCCCATAGCCCATAGGTCTAAACAATCTACATAATTAATACATATTTACATTTTTACTGCATACACTTACACAGCAGGGTATACCAGATGTATGACTTTTTATCCTATAAAAAAATAAATATTTTTTTATTTGTTAATTATAGCAACAACTTCAATCGGTAACATTACATTGGAGGGCTTGAGTCTCGAGACTTTCAACATATTTTATATCGTGATTTAATATATCACAGTCAGTATGTTGTATGTCGGTCATTCCTATCAAGAAAAATGTCGATTGTTTTCATCTGATATATTCACGTTCATCTGGAAATAATAGTATACATAATACTAATACTGTATAGTAACTGCATGGCATTTATTGAAATAGGGGCCTGGTCTGGTGGCACTCTGATCTGATGACACCCTGCTCTGGTGGCACCCTGGACTGGTGGTACTCTGGTCTGTTCTCACACTGGTTTGGTGGCACCCTTGTCTGGTGGCACCCTGGCCTGGTGTTACCCTGGTCTGATGGCACCCTGCTCTGGTGGCAATCTGATCTAGTGGAACACTGCTCTGTTGGCACCATGCTCTGGTGGGACCCTGCTCTGGTTAAATACGGCTCAGTTATGACCTTCTTCTTGTGTTTGTAGCCTACACTGATTGTATAGAGCAGTGTATGTTGACAACCTGTTCTGCTGACAACCTGCTCTGCTGACAACCTGTTCTGCTGACAACCTGCTATGCTTGCAACGTGAGCTTGTGTCAACCTTCTAAAGTGAAACCCTGCTCTGGTGGCACCCTGCTCTGTCGACACCCTGTATCAGTGGCAAACTATGTTGGAACCTTGCTCTGGTGAAACCCTGTTCTGTTGAAAACCTGTTCTGATGGCACCCTACTCTTGTAGCATATTTCTCTGTCAAAACCTTGTTCTGCTGAAATCTAGACTGAAATTTGCAGTTTCCTTTGGGTGTTACTCCATGTGACGGTGTCACCCGGTGCGGTCCACACCCCCGAAATCCCCTAGTGACGCCACTGTGAAAACCCGGACTTACTACTGTGTTCTAAGAAGTAACAATACAAACGTCTTGATACAAAGCTTGTTTCGCACATGAAAAGCCTGGATAATCAAGCTGCAAAAGCACAGGTTCCCAATCCATGGGGTGTGACCTCAGATGGGAGTGTGAAGGGATCTCTGTAGGGTCGCCGACTGAAACACAATCGCGTGGCTAGTGTTAGGGCTGCCCGGTGTGGCAAAAGATTTTGCCGCCTCTCTTCCACGAAGAAACTACACTAGGCCGAAAATACCACCCCACCATATAACAAAGCAAAAATCCCGCCGTGGGGTGGGGGCATCCCTCCACACCCCCTTCCTACGCCATTCCTGAAACAATAGAGTAAGAAATAGTGATTATCATTCCTGTTTTTGGGTGTCTTTTTTAGTTGGTATCTTAAAGTTTGAATTTAGTCTACTTAAAAATGTTTTTTTTTTTTTTAAATATCTACCGTAATTTATTAGCTTAAAAATACTTTTATTTTAAACACATGGCGGTCGCGTGCCACTTGTAAACACTTGAGAAACTGTGCTAGAGCTACTGAGCTTAATAACTCCGCGACATTATCTCCATTCTACATGACGTGGGCGAAATTTTATACACACGTGTCAATAATTGCTGAAATTTAAAAAAAAAAAAAAAAAAATATTTTAAAAATTTGTACCCCAATTTTCCGGAATTAATAATTTCACCGAATGAATTTCTCGGGAAATTATTTTTTATCTTATATTAAAAATTTAACGGAACTCTAAAAAAATGCTTAAGGTAAATTCTTATTTTAAATCTAAGAAGTTTTAAACCAAAAAGAGGTATTTAAAATGGTGACAGATTATAAGTTTGTACCCCAATTTTCCGGGATTGATAATTTCACCGGATGAATTTCTCGGGAAATTATTTTTTACTATATAATAAAAATCTAACGGAACTCGGAATCCTCTTGGATAAAACCCTTCATGCTATGAGAGCCGTGTGTCTAACTTTTGGAGGTCTTGTGTCCCAGCATTCAAAGTTGATAGTTCACAACATTGTTCCACATCACAACCTTAAATGTCCGAGCCCCCCCCCCCCCAGGGGTTGCAGGCCCCACGTGACGGCTTTGGGCCCGTTAGGGTTTTAAAGTTTTTTTTTTTTTAAATTGTTAAAGAACCTTTCATGACCAAAAGAATTTCATTCTTAGAAATGGAATAGTTTGAAGGGTGGAGTTGGGGCAGTAAAAGAAATGGAGTAGTTTGAAGGGTGGAGTTGGGGCAGTAAAAGAAATGGAGTAGTTTGAAGGGTGGAGTTGGGGCAGTAAAAGAAATGGAATAGTTTGAAGGATGGAGGTGGGGCAGTAAAAGAAATGGAATAGTTTGAAGGGTGGAGGTGGGGCAGTAAAAGAAATGGAGTAGTTTGAAGGGTGGAGTTGAGGCAGTAAAAGAAATGGAATAGTTTGAAGGATGGAGGTGGGGCAGTAAAAGAAATGGAGTAGTTTGAAGGGTGGAGGTGGGGCAGTAAAAGAAATGGAGTAGTTTGAAGGGTGGAGTTGAGGCAGTAAAAGAAATGGAATAGTTTGAAGGATGGAGGTGGGGCAGTAAAAGAAATGGAATAGTTTGAAGGATGGAGGTGGGGCAGTAAAAGAAATGGAATAGTTTGAAGGATGGAGGTGGGGCAGTAAAAGAAATGGAATAGTTTGAAGGGTGGAGCTGGGGCGGTAAAAGAAATGGAACAGTTTGATCCCCGTGTCGTAAAGAGGAATTGGGTTTGTGGGGGTGGGGGGGGGGGAAGAAAAGCAAATTTGGCTCAGTGACAACTTGTGTAAGACTTGAGGAATGATTCAGTGACAACTTGTGTAAGACTTGAGGAATGATTCAGTGACAACTTGTGTAAGACTTGAGGAATGATTCAGTGACAACTGGTGTAAGACTTGAGGAATGATTCAGTGACAACTTGTGTAAGACTTGAGGAATGATTCAGTGACAACTTGTGTAAGACTTGAGGAATGATTCAGTGACAACTTGTGTAAGACTTGAGGAATGATTCTAAAAGGAAATGCTTACATAAACTACAATGGGCTGGCTAAAGCTGGGTGCATATCCTGTAAGTGGGGCGCCAACAACAGCCTGCGTCCAAATAACTAGGCGAGGTATTGAAAGCGCGTTTGTTATGCGTAGAGAGGGAGAGAGAGAGTGGTGGGGTGGGGGAGGGAGATGCCTAGGTGTTTACGTCTGATAGCAACACCAGCTTGTAGATCACAGGTGCTTTGAACATTGCCAAGTTGAAGAGGGAGGTGAATGGACATGTTGTTTATACATAACAGTGTTTGCGAATAGACCATAACTAACTTCATTTAAAACGTCCAGGATTTTTTCATTTTGATTTCATGCTTGGTGCATTCGACAAAGGTGAGTTTTAAGAAGGACATAACTGATTGTTTCACTTGTAACTATCACATAAATAATAACGCTTCATTTTATGCCTGGCATCGCGCCATCTAGCTTCTAATTCTAAGAATTTTAAAAAGAAACATTTTTACGGGAATTCCCAATGACTAAGGTTTTTAAAAACAAAAAATGTTTTCAAATTTCAAAGGTTGCATAAGAAAAACTATAACCGTGTGTTATTATGGTCTCTGGTCATTTGAGACAACTCTATTTCGGTAGTTCTTTTGGTATCTGGTTGTGTAAGATACATTATAATTGAGTCGTTATAACCACAGCGGCGTACGAATGGGTGGTTGGATGTATGTGGCGCTACAAGGCTCCCCCGATTTGGCAAACCTGGTAAGAAAAAAAAAAGCTGCAATGTGTGAGTGAGGCAAGGTGGAAGGTAAGAGAGGGACGCGGTGGCCACCACTGGAGGGCCTAGGTGGAAGGTAAGAGAGGGACGCAGTGGCCACCACTGGAGGGATGAGAAAGTCAATCTCCTCCTCATTTGGTATGTGCTTTCGTTCATAACACAGATCCAATAGAGGTAGAAGGTGATGGGAGAGAGAAAGAGAAAAAAAGAGAGAACGAGAAAAAAAGAGAGAACGAGAAAAAAAGAGAGAATGAGAAAAAAAGAGAGAACGAGAAAAAAAGAGAGAACGAGAAAAAAAGAGAGAACGAGAAAAAAAGAGAGAACGAGAAAAAAAGAGAGAACGAGAAAAAAAAAGAGCAGAAGAGAGAGAGAAAAAGAGAAAAAAAGAGAGAAAGAGAGAGAGAAAGAGAGAGAGAAAGAGAGAGATGAGAGAATAAAAGAGAGAAAGAGAGAGAGAAAGAGAAAAACAGAGAGAAAGAGAAAAAAAAGAGAGAAAGAGAGGGAGAGAAAGAGAACAAAAGAGAAAGAGAAAAAAAAGAGAGAACGAGAGAGAGAGAGAAAAAGAGAAACAAAGAGAAAGAGAGAGGGAGAGAGAGAGAGAGAGAGAGAGAAAAGAGAGAGCGAGAGAGAAAGAGAAAAGAGAGAGAGAGAAAAAAATGATAAATAGAATAAAGCTTAATCTCCTAAAACTAAAACATTTAACTCTACGCATTTTATCGTGCATGAACTCACAGCACATGAACACAGGCTTCACAATCCTGTAATTATTAGGCGATCCTGTGATGCTATTGACTGGTGACCTTTATTCTACAGCAATTCAAAGACCAACCAAATGTCAGATCTAGTGCAGGATGACCTGACCTTGAAGGGTCTGTTTGAAGGTGAGATTCAGATTTCCATTATTTACCATTTTTAGCTAAAGTAAACATTATTTTTTTCCTGAGTGGGTCTTGGATTAGCTCCTGGGGGAGGGGGTGGGGAAGGGGGTGGGGAGACTAGGATGAGTGAAATAAAATCTGAAATTACAAGAATAGCTTAACGGGATGTTTTGGAGACACATTCCGTGTTTTAAAACAATTAATACACACATGTTAATTGAATAGAGCCTACTTTGAAATTAACATAATATATGATACACAGCATCAAACTGAGCAGACTGAGTTTGTACCAATGTTTTCAAAAATGCATCAATTGAATTGTTGAGATTATTATTATTATTGCAGTGTTTGTTATATAGCGCAGTACCCCAGCCCAAGGCTAGGCTCACTGCTCAGTACCCCAGCCCAAGGCTAGGCTCACTGCTCAGTACCCCAGCCCAAGGCTAGGCTCACTGCTCAGTACCCCAGCCCAAGGCTAGGCTCACTGCTCAGTACCCCTGCCCAAGGCTAGGCCCACTGCTCAGTACCCCAGCCCAAGGCTAGGCTCACTGCTCAGTACTCCAGCCCAAGGCTAGGTCCAATGCCCTTCACATTAAAATAAGCAATTTCAGAAAAGTATACATTTAAAAACAACGATTGGTAAAAAGCTTGACCTCACCCACCCAAGTACTATCTACCCTTGTCTAGCCATGATCAGCACCCAGCAGCATTGAGCGTTGTTTATTAGTTAGAGGGGGGTGAGAATGAGTCGGTACAGAACAGTTTGAAGAGATGGGTCTTGATGGCAGTTTTGAAGTTTGTGATGGTCGGTATGCAGCGCATGTGTTTTACCAGTCTAGCGAATCATCCTTTCTCTTTTCTTCATTCCAAAACCTTAACATCCTCTAATATGATGTAATATTTCAGGCAAGCATGAGGTCGCAGACATTAAGATGGAAGCCAGCTCACTTGCGTTCGCCTTCGATTGCGAAAAACATAAAACATATAACAGTCACGACGGTTTCATACCGTACACAGATTTCTGCCGGAGGAGTCTGCCGAGGCGTTACAGAGATCCCTACTTGCTGGACGTGATCAAAGTCATCGCCTTCCTCACAGTGAGGATTGACGTCACCTACACCAGCCCAGCGAGGCCGCTTGCTTATCCGTGCAGCGAGTCTCGGGGACGCACGGCAAAGCGTTCGGGGACCGGTCGTATCGGAATGGTGTGGAAGTACACGGACAACGACCACCGCACTTGTCCGTGTACTGCGTGCAAACAGTCGGAGAACCCCGTGAGAAACTGGGGCTTGATTCGGGTCATCACGGCGGTGCATGTCGTCTACGACAAGGCCGAGGCCCTCAAGGCGACATGTCGGTTTGGGTACGATTCATACAAAAGCCCTACGGTCATTTTCGAAGGCGTCGACATGGAGAGAGCAGACGTGAACGACGACAGATGTCATTTGTCGTGCGTCACCCACGACCTTGAACTCTTGGACAAGCTGAAGCTCCAGTGGTCACGGTATCCGGCGCTCCACAGAAAAGTCACGGAGAAATTTAAGCGACCTAATGACAAACTCGTTGTGATCGTGTCGCACCCCCACGGCTGCAGCAAACATGTGTCTCTTGGGTCTTGGACCAACAAGGTCATCACAGGCGCGACCTCGCCCGGTCCGGATGCACCCACGCCGGGTCAGGTTGAGTCCTCGCCCAGTCAGGGTGCCTCCTCTCCCATTCAGGGTGCGTCCTCTCCCGGTCAGGGTGCGCCCTCTCCCATTCAGGATGCGTCCTCGCCCGATCAGGCCGTATCCCCGCCTGTCCACCCGTTCGTCAAGTACACGTACACGACCACAACATGTCCCGGTTCTAGCCGGGCCACGGTGTACATCATGGGGAGGACGTGGGGACTTTGGTACAATCAGATCCACAGTGGCCACAAACCGGAAGTCAACTACAACTACAGTGGCAACGGTTGCCACTGAGGAGACTCCACCTGAATTTAAACAAACACATATGACAGTGTAAGAACGTATACAATATTAGCTAACTTGTAATTTGTTTCATTTAAATCCATTTTAAGATCTTCAACTGCCACTATGTATTAAAAAGATCTTCAACTATACGTATGTATTAATCAAATCTTAAACTGTCGCTATGTATTGACTAACATCCACATCATATTATAATCTTCAACTGTCACTATGTATTGACTAACATCCACATCATATTATGATCTTCAACTGTCACTATGTATTGACTAACATCCACATCATATTATGATCTTCAACTGTCACTATGTATTGACTAACATCCACATCATATTATGATCTTCAACTGTCACTATGTATTGACTAACATCAACATCATATTATGATCTTCAACTGTCACTATGTATTGACTAACATCCACATCATATTATGATCTTCAACTGTCACTATGTATTGACTAACATCCACATCATATTATGATCTTCAACTGTCACTATGTATTGACTAACATCCACATCATATTATGATCTTCAACTGTCACTATGTATTGACTAACATCCACATCATATTATGATCTTCAACTGTCACTATGTATTGACTAACATCCACATCATATTATGATCTTCAACTGTCACTATGTATTGACTAACATCAACATCATATTATGATCTTCAACTGTCACTATGTATTGACTAACATCCACATCATATTATGATCTTCAACTGTCACTATGTATTGACTAACATCCACATCATATTATGATCTTCAACTGTCACTATGTATTGACTAACATCAACATCATATTATGATCTTCAACTGTCACTATGTATTGACTAACATCCACATCATATTATGATCTTCAACTGTCACTATGTATTGACTAACATCAACATCATATCATGATCTTCTACTGTTACTTTGTATTAAACATCCATTTAATTTAAGATCTTCATCTGTCACTGCGAATATGTATTAATTAACATTCACATCATTGTTACCATAACAAGATCTTCATCTGTCTCTTTGTATAAATCGACATCCATTTACTTTTAACATTTTCAACTATCACTTCATTGAACATCCACGTCATTTTAAGAACTGGAGAGGAAATTAAATGGTTTGAGATGAGTTTTCAAGAAATGTAAATTGAAAAAGCCATTTTTCAGATTAGTGGTTTATTCTATTTAAACTGGTTCAAAATCTGATGAGACCATAAATATAAATCAAAATTTTAAAAATAAATTATTTTTAAAAAAAAATATTTTAAAAAATAATTAAAATTTAATTTATATTTTTCAAAACGACAGAAAAATTAAACTTCTTTACCCAGAAATCTGAATTAATTTCATTTGATTCAAAAGTGTTTTTTTTTCATTAATGATGTGATATATGTATAATTGTTGATTTATCTGTGTTTAATTTGACTGAATAAAGTAAATGATACTTTTCTTTTGGCTTGTTTGGGGTATTTTTGTCGAGTAATTGATACAGGTTTTCACATTACCATGTTTAGCAAACAGGTATTTTTTTATACCTGACCTGATTGCAGACTCTTCCGATCAAGTAAATTATATTAATATGCTGCATAAATGTTATATGATTTCATCACTTATGAACATTTTGAAAATGTGTAGCAATAATAATAGCATATGATCATATGATCTATTACAACTGTAAAGACAAAGTACAGAATATGAGCTCCTGTTTAAATGTCATGATGTTGCTTGAAACTAATCTACAAAAGAATTCCCAATCAAAGGGAAGCCACTGATGAAAATGATGTCACTGCTGGTAAACCTGTGAACTGAGTGCATTCGTTTTCCTCTCCGCTTCGTGATGGTCCCAGCTTGACCTTTGCTCTCAGTTGCCGAATCACCGGAAGAGTCTCATATTTCAATCTAGGCAACGGAGTGCACCCCTCTCGCGTTCCTCTCCTTTTTTGCCGCTCCCATTTGCTGAATCGACCCCGAACGTTTTAACTCGCAACTAAAATTTCTCCCAATTTACTCTCAGCAAGTGATTAGACCATCTGCAAAAATGTTCATCAACACTTGTTTTGCTGTAAATTTTTAGTGTCAATCTATCATCCATCGATCCATCTTTCAACCCACCTGTCGGCCTGTCTGTCTACCTGCCCTAAATTATGTTTTTGTCATTAGTCATCTTCAATGTGCCACTTACCCGTAGAGTTATCACAAGTCTTTCTCTTGAAGACAAAGGTTTTCGAAAATTCGTTGTTCTTTTCTCAATATGAGGTCCAGTGTGATCAAGAAGGATTTGAAAAGTTTCAGGGCGCATCCGATTATAGGAAACACATTTTTCTTCATCTCTTAAAACTTCATCCAGAAGATGATGATATTCTCCAAAATCACCTCTTCGTAAAAAAATTCTGTGTGTCCAGTAACGTTTTGAGGTTCGACGTTTCCTTTTGATCCAAAACAGTAAGAGCAATTGCAAAGCCTCCATTATTGTTCCACCTAGTGGAACCAAACTGAGCAAAATGGCGCAATGTGTCGCCAGTGACGTTACAAATATGTAACACATTCGTTTCTCTTCCATTTTCTTGCTGATCGATCGTCGAAATGGAAAGGAGTACAAAACGAATGCACTCAGTTCACACCCTAAGATATAAATATAGATATATATAAAGGGAAAGGAGGCAATAAATTGTTTCTATTTTGATTAGCTAAACATAAATTTAATTTTAACAGCCAAATAATTAATTAAGAGTCCACCAAAACATTACAAAGTTCAAGCAAAGATATGGTATTATTTGTTAACATATATCAAAACAATATTAGGATTATTTTAATAACAGTTAAAGTTTAATGTGCCAGATATTTGTCAACACCATTTTCTCAGGGTGTTTGAATATTTTAGGATACAAACAATGCACATTTTTAAAAATAAAAGCAGATAAATTAAATTCAATTCTTATATTACAATTGAAATAATTAAACAACATAACGACTTTCGATCCAAAAAATGCCAGGAAAAAAAACATCCAAAGGGATGGCTGAATTCATTGCTGACAATTATTGAGTTAAAACCAAAAACACCTTTGATTAACTTTGTTGTTAACTTGAGAGTTGCCATTCTGCAACACTGTCTAAATTAGAATTTTTCAGCAAGATGTGGAGAATGTCTGGCAATAAACCTTGATTGATTATTTTAATTATTTAAATTTTTAAAAAGTCACAATCAATGTCTCATATTGGTAAAAAAAATTGAATTTATATGCAACTGATTTGTATTCCATGGGAAGTTAAAACATCCGTTGATTTAAAGACCAGAAATTCAGAAAACAAGGTTCTATAAGCAAGGCTTCTTATAAAATTCATGTGTTCAATGTGCCACTTGGTTTACACCAACAAAAATGACCAAAAAAATGTTCAACTGTCAAACCAGGAAGAGTAAGTGATAAAAAATTTTGTTGAGCATGATAAACTGACTTCCCTTCCATTACAGGATGTCACACTGGCAATAGCTGTATAAAATTATGGCCATTTAAACTATTATATACAGCAGCGGTGTGCTGCCAATCAAACAAGGATTGGCTCATTACTGGTCAGATTTCTTTAGATTAAATTAAAAATTTGGACATTTTATTTTATTTAAAAAAAAAATTATTTTGCTATTTTTGGCAACCAAAGTTCATTAGAATAGTCAAAATTGAACAACAGGTTCACCTAAACAACCTTTAGCACACCGCTGATCTACCGGAATGTTTTATTTCATGATATATTCAACAGCATGCATAATATTGAGATAAGTTTAAAATTACACTGCCCTTGTGGTTAAATTTATGTTTGGATGTCAAAATTGGACAAAATCTATTAATTCATAATTTGCTTAGAAAAGGACAACACAGATATCAATAAAACGAAATTAATTGATAGCATTAAAATTTCCTCACTTCAGACAAATGAGCGTCTTCAATATAATGAATATTACTGGCTTTTAAAAACAAAATCGGGGATGAATATGACTATGGATTTAACGGTAAACATATTGCTTTCCTTACAAATCCTGCTTGCCTATAAATTGCTACGCACGTGTTCATTTATTTCAAAGCCCCAACTAAAAGTTCAGTGCTTGCTCTCCCATCTCCAACTAAGAAACTGTTCTCAAAGTTTTCAAAATGCTGCACATTGTCCACGTACATTTAAAGCATTTTTGTTGAGGAACTATGCTTTACACCAAGGTTGAACATAATTTAAGCATGGCAATATATTTTTACCCTGGTCACAATCCTGTTTTCCCCCAGATTTGGGGAGAACTGTGGATGTAGCTCCGATTTAAGCCCCAGACCTGCCAACGGTTAATTCTGTAGACAGTTGTCTTTTACCAAGTTTCCAAATAAGATTTTCAAAATGAAAATAGAAAATTTTATGTCATCTGTCGAGACCATGTCATGTGAACTGTCATAATTAGGCGTCCTGATCACGTCCTCAAAGCCACGACTGTTTCTCTCATGTCTAAAAGAGATCATTTAATAGGTATGAAAACTCTTGCATTGTAGAGCTGAGGAGACAATCTTTAACTGTGAAAAATGTGGACAAGAGAATTTTAAAATAAATATTAAGATGATTTTTTTCTAAAAAATTAACAATGAAAATTTTAAAAAATTGTATCAAACTAAGAAATAATTGGTCAATAAATAATTAATTGTGTAGAAAAGAAAACAGAAAATGACATCATCAATTTTGTTGTTCATTTTACACAATAAAAATTAAAGAGGCATAAAATGTATTTATTCTTTTGGAGGAGCTGGAAAGGAGATTTCTAACTCTGACTTTTTAGCTCAAAGACAACAATGTTTTTTAAGTGAAAATTTACAGACTGACATCTTTTTTCTCATTATTACACAGCAAACTACATACTATGACAGCTTGGTTATAAAATATACACTTTGCATATGGATATTTTGTTTATTATTTCAGATTGAATAATGCTTTTTAAAATCTGGAACCAATTAAATCTTGCAACACATTATTGAATATTTCTTTTACACCAGTACTGCCAAGATTATGTCTGATGTAAACCGTTTTCTTATATAAGTGTAACACACACAAAAGAGGCAAGACGTTATGGCCATCAGAATAAGATCAAATATATTTTACAGGCAATACATTTTTTAAAGTAATATTTGTAAAAAAAAATAATAATTAAAGTTTGCCCTAGAAACACATTTAGCCAAATTAAATTCACACTCGCTAACATTAACCAAAAATATATTTTAATGAATCCACCACATGAAGATGTGAGATTTAACTGTGAACAGGGTCTTGACAAATGCCTAGAAC